GAACTATAACTGAATACAGAAACAAAAGGGTGGAAACCCATCATATCCATTTTAAATCTAGATAATTGAGTATATAATAAACAATTCAACTTTTGAAGTACAGCTAAATAAAGAACATATAAGTATGTTTTTATTTTAAAATTTCTTTATAATTATTTATTGTTATTATTATTATTTGTTGCTGTGCATCCTGTCAGACTAAGCACACATTCAGTTAATTAGGTATTCTTGTGATGAAGCACTGAGCTTGTGGTACTATTATAATCCAAAATGCAAGAGAATTATGGCACAGAGTGTTTTCTTCACCTGTGCTGGTTGTCTGCTCCACATCCATATACCTGGTTATTTGAACAGCATTACTATCTGATGAAAGTGCTCTTCCCTAGAAATAAGTGTCTAGTCCAATTACCTGTGCCAGGATCAAAGAATGCCCCATTTTGACTCATACACAGTCTCAGAATATTCATATGTATGTGCCCACATATGTTCATGTTTGGGCCTTGAGTCACTGAATTAGGACCAGCTAAACAAGTTTGGGGAAGTTGCATTCACCGCATTAATTTTATTCCCGTGTATCTGACAGCAAGCATGTTCCTCCAGTCTGCTGTCAAGATAGGGAACACAATGGCAAGCATACGACCTCGTTTACATTTTAATATCACCACCTGGCTAATTTTGAATGCTGGAGTGTATATTTATCGTGGCCTTGGTCAATAATCTATTTCGATTAACCTATTCAGAATATGATTTGTTTTCCTGCTATCGGTGCTTCTTTATGTGGACTAATCAGTATGATAAATTATGCACTAATGTTATTATGAACGTGAATATTCATGACTCACTCCATGGTGACAATGACACTGGCCAACAATGGTTGGCTATCAGTGCTTTACTCCCTTGGCAGTTAGCCAAGGCTGGTTGCTTCCCACCTAAATTAACGAAGAGGTCAGCAGGTTTCTTTTCACCAGCATCATTGTAGTGACTGTTTGCAGTGTGGTAAAAGTGATTACCAAATGGACCTGTTATTATTATTAGTCCCTAAATAAGCTCTCCCTCCTCATATCTCTGTAGCATTGACTGGTGTTGGTATACACACAAAGCATTTGGATGACCTACTTTCAGTTTAAGCGGCAGCTTTGTGTTGTGGATTGACAGCTCTGTCTTGGGGTGGATTTTTACTTACGTGGATGCTGCTTTTAACACAGATTTTAGGGTTTTATCGATGGAAAATGATCAGGATGAAAGTGGATGAAGTGTTTTTAGCCCTCTCAGACAAGGTAGGTGCAGTTTTAGAGGGAAAATATGGTTAGAAGATTCTTTCTTCCAGGCCACTTGATAAAATGTAGGTCAGCCATGTATGAATGAGTATCATTGGTAGGGAAACACCCTTCGTAATTTCTCTTGTTATTTCCAAGAAAGATATGAAAAGGATAAAAAATTTGTCCAGTATGAAGGTTGATTTCAGAATGAAGAAAGAAACACCAAGCAAGGCATAGGTTTTGGGTATAAAATTGAGCCTAGGGTGAAAATGGTAGACTCATCGGAGAAAATGGTATTCGGTTCAAATTCACCGGGTGGGAATATTTGTGTATATTTCAGAGGGATACAATTGTTTTTAGTAGATGCTTTACATGGTGTTTTGATACACTCATTTAAATATTTGACTTTTTTGAGTGAATAAAAGAATTCTCCCCGTGCTATTAATAGATGGTATAATTAATCCTTGGCATCTTTATGTGTATTTAGAGAGAGAGGTCATTAGTTCAAGTTTTGACAGCAAGTGTTGGACTCTTTCCTTCAAGTAGTCATAACAGACATGGGACACTGATGAATTCCTGATTTTCCGAAACCGTTAACAATAGTATTGTTGGTTTGGCTAGCCTAAGAGTATAGTATAAATTCATTTAGAACAGCTCAGCCTTTGATATTGATCCAAGTACATGTACATATGAAATTGTACTAAAAATATGAGAAGTGGGTCATCCCCATGAGCAGGTGTTTCTTGCATAGGAGATGGTTGTTCTTCATGACTGATGTTTGACATGGGACAAATGGTCTTCAGAAATAGAAATTTCATAACATCGCGCAACACTTGCAGGTGTAATGGTGGATGCATAAATCATCTTTATTTTCTGTCAAATAGGAGAGATGCTTCCATGATGTTATGCATTATGGGGTTAGAAAAGACCTTAGGTATGTCAAACCGAATTATTAAATATTGGAGGTGTTTAGAACTAAAAATATGTTTGCATACATATTACCCACCATTGTATTGATCCGTGCATGGACGTGAATTTTATAATGTATAAATTTTATCAAAGTTTTCCTTTTGATCCAAAGTGTAGAATCAAAAGTGTGAGTAATAAATGGGAAAATTGAAATGAGTCAAGTTGAACACCCAGGACATAATATGTTTTAGAAATTTGGCATATTTGAATTTATTTGACAACCATTTGCTTTCACTCAGAACTTTCTTATGTCTGTGTACAAAAATCCTTAGCCTGAACTTCGGTGTTTGCATAGGCAAGTTTCTATGCATGGTGTACATATAACACCCTAGGCAAGAGCACAGTATAGTAAAGCTGGTTCTCTCAACTGTCAGCATCTATATTGTTATGCCCTGTAGCTTGCACCTGACATCTGCCCTCTATAATAATGTAATACCTACATAGTTAGTATGAAGAAACCTAAGGTAGATTTTTATGTATATGATCTGAAAAGGTTAAGAGATTTCAGACAGTTATATAATACAATTCATAAATACATTATTGACTGTGGTAACAGTATGGAGTGTATACTGTAGATAGTGTACAATCAGAGGGATGGTCCCCATTATGACAGATAGGAACCTTGTTTCTGCTGGTGTTGTTTTTCCTTAATGTTGTATGCTACAGCAGACACATATATCTTATCATCTCCAGCTGATCTGGTAGAAAATGGAAACCCTGGCAGAAAAAAAACTGCCTTGGTATTGGGCTCACCTAGCTAGTGTAATGTATTGAATGTCTGAATGTAGGAAGTGAAACCTGCTGCGTAGCATATTTTTGAGTCATTCCAATTGCTGTTGGGTTTGTGTTCAATACTCGGCTATACTGGGATTAATTTGTAAAGAAAACCTGCTGTTGTTTTATGGGTCAGTGGGTAGACGGTCACTCTGCCCCCATCTAATAGGAATCCCCTATTTTCTCTCCAGTTTCCAGATAAGACACTTTAAGCAGTAATAATCTACATCAAGTGGGACATTCTTTTATAATTGGTCACCTGAGCAAAGGGATATTTGAAATTCCATTATTTTATATTATTTTTTCAATTATTGTAGTTATTATAACATGTAACATGCGTCTTTATAACATTAAATAGTGCCATGTTACAGGTGGTTTTATTTTTAACATAGTCTCTAAATAAATGGGCCAAAACAACAGTCTGGTAGATTCCAAGTCTGTGGAATAGTAATGTATGCACTGTGACTCCATTTTGAATATATTTACCTATAAAATCGGTTTGACCTGAACCGAATAGCAGTATTTATGTAAAAGCAGCAAATGCACTAAGAATATAAAGCAGCATTAAACAGTGTCCAAGAGGTTTGATATTTGATATTTATAAAAACAAAAATCACTGCTTGTGGCCATTTAATGTTAATCATTCACAGCACGAGTCAAAATACGATTATATAGAGCAAAAGTGATTTGTTGTGCATATGTAATCACAACAGGAATTCACCTACATTAGCCTTAACTCACACAGCGAGGAAGTCATTAATAGCACCTTTTTGAAGCATTTGTGGTTTTGAGGTCAAGTTATTTAACTTGGCACATTTAAGGTAAGAGCTGATGTTTTATTAGGGTATTGTTAGGTATGAATAAATAATAAATGTTAAAGACTAAAAAGCTAGTATTTTATTTTATTTTTATTATTATTTTTTTTTTTTTTTGGGGGGGGGTGGTGGATAACAGGGGATCATTATGGGGTTTTAAATGTAATTTTTAAATATCTTATTAGTTGGGGGGGGGGTTAATACTATTTCCTTAACTGAAGATAATGATACTTATTCACTTTCTTGGAAGATGACATCAAAAGAAATTTCTCTGTAGATCAATAAAATGTCATCTACCTGAAATAATAACTGTGCAGTATCTATTTAGACCAATCTGTTGTTGGAGAGGTGATTATAATTGTGTGGAGAACATCAGTAGAGGAAGCTGTTTCCATGGTATTGCATGCGTCTGAAGCTGGGGATTGATGTCAAATTTTATATGAACGTGTTGTTATTGTGCAGCTGTTATTGTGTTTCTCTGATGTAAATGAGTTTATCAAGCAGTAGACTGTTTTGTGATAACCTCACGTGATGAAATAGCACTGTTTATAAAAAATGTGCAAAAGAGAATATTGATTCTAAAATATGGCTCTTGATATTGCACATTTCATCTTTTTACTACAGCTCCAAGATATAAGTTTGCCATATAATTTACATGCACACTTGTAATAGTGAAAAAAGTAAATAGCAAAAACTAAGTACAAGCTTTGAACAGTATATTCCCCAATTAAACGTACAAATATTATCTACATGTACATATTTGTACATGTTTATGATTCTTATAGATTTGTTTGAATTGGATTTTACTTTTCATATTTCTTTGGTATCAAGGTTTTTATCGTAACATATCAGTAAAATTCCACCACACATATAAAATATATTCATCGGAATGTGTGATATTGATAATACTGGGAAAAGCTTTTTAACCCTTTAGTCACACCTACTATGCAGATGATAGTATCATTAACCTAAGAATTCATGTACAGGGTTCCTCTTAATCTTTCAAAAGGCCATGTAAATGTAAGGATAGAAACTAGCGGAAATTTGTGAGCTTACCATGACTTCATTGGGCCTATTCTACTGTTACACATTCCAATGTTGTGGATTTAGGATAGAAGTTAAATTCGGGCTAGAATAATTTGAAACAGTGTGATGCATAATTGTATTTCATTGTATGTTTCAGGAGCTGCTCAAAAAATGTCACCAGTGCATGGAAATCATCGTGAGTGCCAAAGACCGCCAAGCTGCCGAAGCCAACAAAAATGCATCCATTTTATTGGAGGAGATTGATCAGGAGAAGAGCAGAGAAGAAAGCAAGAAACTAGCAGCCCAGAGGAAACGTGAGAAAAGGAAAAAGAAGAAAAAGGAAAAATTGGAGAAAGAGAAAGAAAAGGAGAAAGAGAAGGAAGAAGAGCCAACAAGGTAACTCTAAGGAAATATAATCAGTAATCAAGCAAACACTAATCTCACACTACTGTGTACAGTGTTTGTCATGTAATTGATGCATAGTTCACTCTGGCAAGCAGTGAAATGAAAAACATTTTGAAAAAAAATTACTAATTTTTCTTTGTTTTACTCAATTTTTGTTGGCTATTTGGTTCAAGGAACCCAAAATAAGACAGAGAAGCCTGACTTAATATTTATGTTGCAGTAACAATTCCACGCCAGAGCCAGAAGAAAGTAAACCCATAGAAGAGAATGAAGAAGAAAGTAAAGAGAGTGAAATGAAAGAAAGAGTTCCACTACCACCCCCTTCTGCTACCATAAGCACAACCATTGGTGAGTGCCAAAAAAAAAAAAGAATAATAAAATAAAAACAGATTGCCTCAGGATTTTTTTTTCAGTCGTGTGATAACCATACTTTAACTCTTTGCTGCTGTCTGTTTTGCTCACCCAGTGACAGCAAAGATTCACACCACTCAACACATCTAAGAACGAGTGATGAAGTGAGGATACTTTGCTTTCAAGACTGTCATCAGTGAAGAACTTGAGTGTGGATCTAAAGTTCAGAACAGCTTATTAATGTGTGTATTATTATGGATTGGCTTTTCGTGCAACAGAACTTGGCACTCCTATCTTCTTTTTACTTTGACTTGAATGATGTACATTTTGCACAAATATCTGTAGTTGGGACACTTATTGCTAAGAAACCAAGGGTGCAGCTCATGTGAATACTGCAGTACATTATAGTTGTATACAGGGATGCTGACATGGATTTTTCCGTTTTGTATACATACTACGTGTAATGTTTTTACCTATCTCAGCATATGTTGCCTGCCTAGTACCATTGAAGAAGTTAGATACCAGTTTTGATTGAACAAAATATGCCACTCAGAATTACCATTAAAACTCTTCAGAGGAACAGCAACAGTGAAATGTGCCGTGTTGTATATTCACCCAAGAATGTTGCCTGCCTCTTCTGGTTTTGAGACCACATTGATTATGGAGGGTGCTAATTGAACACTGCAATATTTCTAGCACCTGCTGGGATGTAGAGTAGATCATATCCTTAATGAGACTTTGTATTATTGTAACAGTGCTGGAGAGACTCCTGTTTTGCTGGAACTGTGATGTGCCTAGTTTAGCTTTGTTACCCGAGAAGCCCTATAAGGGATTTTATTTCCAAATATTGATGGGTGATTACTTGTGATATGAAGTTGATTATTTATTTATTTGTAACAGTAGTTTTTTCTACAGTTTGCTATCTCTTTAATTCGTGCATGTTGCCAGGGCGGAAGCCATGCTCAATACTTGTTACCACAATTGCTAGAAAGCAATATTGCCAATTTTCTTCAAACTGCCATACCTTTGGTACTGCTTCTGAAACTAGTTATTAACACCCATGGTGTTAATTATAGCAAAATCATGACTCTGACATATTTATATCACAAGAGCATTTGAAAGTCACTCCAAGCTCTGACAGCTGTGAATGGAAGAATGGCTAGCATTTTGTATGGCGTTTTAGAGATCGGGTACTCTTTTTTAATGAGTAAGCTAAGGAGTAAGCTAAGCTATGGAGCATGATTTAAGTATTTTGTAGCTGATAAAATTTTTTACTCACTAAGTTTTTTATCAGGCATATAGAAAGTAGCCTTCAAGACATAAAGAAGGTGAAAATTTGTAATTCGTTGATGTGTATAGAAAATTAGGCAGGTTAAATGAGTTATTTATAAATAAGTTATTTTTTGTGTTCATTTCAATTAAATGCCATCATGGTCTGATGAATTTTGTATTTTTTAATCTTAGTAAATAAGTGACTAAATGCATTTTCAGGTATCACCCTATCCAGAGAACCCAAAAACATTCGAAATGCAGGAACCATTGACACAGAAGATAACATGGATTCTACAAAAAATAGAAACAAAAAGAACAGAAAGCAGAAAGAGAGACTACCAGACAGCAGACAGAGGCAAGCAGACAGTGTGGGAGAGAACATGCGAATACCCACCTCATTGAATCAAAACAGGAGTAGTTCTGGTGGAAAGGCTTCGTCCTCTCAAAGAGGGCGACATGAAGACACGGCCACCACCAGGAAAGTAAACAGCGGGGAAAGTAACAGGAAGAGGAAGAACTTGATATCACACAGCAGTTCTACAGGTGAGGAAAAAATCAACTGTGACTGATTTGATGTCATAGAATTAATTGTTACAGTAGTTCTGCAAGTGAAAAAAAGTCCACTGTGACTGGTTTAATGTAAATGTGCACTTGTAATAATACATTTTATCATCTATATATTTCCCTATGCACTAGTTAATCTGATGCCTTTCAAAATGAAGTATTTGCTTGACATGTTTTTTTGTATTTGTCTATTTTTAATGAGACCTCTTTCTTTTTTGAGCAGGTATAGGTGATTTAGATGACTTTGGAGATTTACCTGGTAATATGCGGCTCTCTTCAGCTCCAGCAGGCAACAGAAAAGAAAAGAATTATAAGATGGGTTCGCTGTGAGTAATTTTTCAATACCAACGTTTTGTAAAGGCTTGTAGTAGTGAATGTGGTATTTTAAAAAATACCTTTAAAATGAGTTTATTTGTACAGTTATTACTATGACTAAAATAAGATCCATTCCAAGAAGTATTGAAACATTCTTAGTGAATTTTGGGCCATTTCATTTGCATATTGTATAAATATGAGTATTATTTTTGCAGTTTATTTACAGAAATGTCTTTCTTGGGTTTTCAGAGACTCTTTTGATGGTGATCCTTTGGCAGCTATGCTGTCAGGAGGAAAATTGACAAATCAGAACAACACCTTGGTTTTAACTCCATCTAAAAATTCTGGGTCCAGTCCAAGTAAAAAAGGCGGAAAGAGAGAAGAAGGTTGGAAGGAAGTGATCAGAAAGTGAGTATGGGTTGCTAGTATTAGATTATGTTTGATCCTCATTACAGAACCTGTTGATATAAAAATTGTCTGTATAATTTTTGTGTGTTGATGTCTTCAGAATAATTTTCTATTAATAGTAAGTAATCAGCTTAGTAATTTCTTAAAGTACATGGACGATGTTGGTTTGATTTGTGTAGAATGTTCTGTCTTCCAGTTCTGAGACTTAATTAACAAGAAAGTAATGTCGTATCATGGAATGCCCATATACAGAAATCTTGAAGATCCATTGTTAAATCTATGTTATATTGTTTTGTTCATTTTAGATCTAAAAAGCTGGCCATCCCTGCATCGGCAGCAAGCATGTTATTAGGTCGTGGCGGTGCCAAACTGAACGCAATCCGTGAGGTATCTGGAGCAAACATTGACATTGACAAGCAGAAAGGGCCTGGTGGGGAAAGAAGCATTACAATTAAGTGAGTTTCAAGCATTTTATAAAATATTACCCAGATCCACATGATATTTTTGCATATCTAGAAGATTGTCTTAAATGTTGTTTGTGCCAAAATATACCTGGTTTTGAAAAATGTTAAAATTGTAGAACAAAACTGTATACCATCTAGTGTTTTTTGGAACATTATATCAAAAATATTTCAAGTGGCATTGTCATTCAGCACTATAGTGTGAAGGATCGTTTACATCAAACAAATTTTTTTAAAAAGCATTTCAAAAACTGTTAACTGCATCAGTTAAATGGAATTTACAATGACTGGTTTACATATTGCAGTATAAAACTGATGATCTAAATATGATATGTTCTTTTCCAGAGGGTCTGCAGATGCCACAAGACAGGCACACAATCTCATCACAGCCTTGATCAAAGACCCAGAGAAGGACATAGTGGAAATTTTACCAAAGAGCAGCAAGTCAAAGTCTTCAACCTCCTCCAGTTCCATCAGCCTGTCCACCATAACTACTACAACTCTACTGACCACTACGGCCAACACCAGCAGTATCATCAGTAATGGCCATGTGACCACCACCATATCACAGAGTAAGAAATCGTCTGTGCAGATTGTGCCATCGAAGCATTCTCAGTCCAGTTCTGGCCCGGCGTGGGGAGGCCAGGCCGCCATCTTGGCGTCTCCAAAAAGGGGGACAGTGAATGGTAAGCCTCTGGCTGTGACCTCTGTGACCACATCAACTACGATGACGATGAGCGTATCACACACTCCATCTAAGAGTCCAGGCACTGTTGCAAAGAAGTTGTTTTTGGGTGAGACTGGAGGGAAAGCAGTGTCGGGAGATGGGAAATTTTCTCAAGGCTCCCAAAAATCTGAGGCTCACTTACCACTCAACACAAGCAGGCTGCCTCCTCGTTTGGCAAACAAGCAGAAACAGCAACAACAACATCAGCAACAGTATCTTCATCAACAACAGCAGCACCAGCATCTACATCAGCCTCCTGCAGCACAACAACAGCAACAACAACAGAGGGTTCCGCCTCATCACCAGCAGCAGCGTATGGAGCATCAGCCTCTGCCTATAAAGAACAACAACAAACAGCCTGGCCAGCCCGTTGTGTCTGTACCAGCCACAGCTGTAGTGGCACCCCAGGGCTCTTCTGTCACCCCAGGGGAGTATTCTCCCTTCAACAACCTCTTCAGCAATGTAGCAGAACAGGTGATGCTTGGCAAGAAAGACGATGCTATGGAAAACAGGATGAACTTTGCCAGTGTTGCTGCTGCAGGCGTGTTACCATCCACCCCACCCATGTGCAATGTTGGAGCAGTTGGATCAGCTCCGCCTGGTCATCCCCCTAGAGAGAGAGAAGACCCCAAGTTACAAGCCAAAGCACCAGGTTACAAGCCCAATGGACAGAGGAACATGTCTCCACAGACCAACACAGATGATGTCTTTAGATCTAATCTAGTTGTTAGCTTGCCTGGGTCAGTGAGCATCCCTACCCCTGTGTACCCCGGAGATCTGGGCATGCATAAGGGTCTGTTCAATCCCCCAGAGGCAGATTTGAACAGAGCAGTTGGGGGTGGTGGCTTTAGACCTCTAGTCAGTTCCTCGTCAGCCAACACATCTCCCAGAGCAGGAACAGAACCACCAAGAAGTATGTCAGCTGGGCCAGTGGATGCCTTTGGAAAGCTCCGAGAGGAATATTTCAGCTCAGACCAGCCCATGACTCTGCCGAAAATAGAAAGCACCTTGAATCCCAATGCCCCAAATTTCACTTGCAGGTTTGGCCAAGCTTCTGACAACATGGCCCCTTCGCAGGGCATGCTCCACTCGGGTAGAGGGAGTAGCAGTTTTGGCGCTCCAGGATCTCGCCTACCACAACCGCTGCCTGCATCAATGCTGAATCAGTCTGGAGGCTTCAACGCTCCAGGTTTGCTTCAGTACAGTAACTTGACCTCTGAATTTGGAAGTGGCCTGCCTGCAGGAGCACCTGGTATGAACAACATGGGGATACCACCACCTTCTGGGTCAGCCTTTGGTGGGGTCCAGCCCCAGGGGATGGGTGGACCACCTGGTCAGCCTCAGTTCCAGCCCCAGAGGTCTCTCTCTGGGGGGAATACCCCTGGGACTTCTCCTAGAGGTGAGTAGAAATCCATTTGTTTTAGTATGTACATATTTAAAAGTAAGAGTTACATATTATATCATATATGATGCAAGCATCTTGATTTTTTATTGGTGAAAAGGTGTGTAGAAATGTGGCTAAAATTTGAGTTTTGTGGACTGAATACAATCATATAGAATTTCTCTTTTTAATAATAACGCATTTTTCAATAGCCATCAGTAGGCATTTGAGGCCTATTTTTTATCTTTCTTTAAATCGTTCACATCTAAAAGATGTCTTTATCATTTGTAAAATGTATTCCTATCTTTTGTGTCTCTGTTCTCCCTTGGTTTTAGATTAATCAAAGGAAAAAAGAATAACTTCTTTTAGTGCAGTTTATTTATATACTGCTAAATAGCTTTCCTATCTTTCATGATGTTTTTAAAGAAAGGGTGGAGAATTTTCTTGTAGTACAACATTTATTAATCATCTCTCAGGTGACATGGACCATCAGCCTAATACATCTGAGGCAATCCTAAGTCATTCCCCATCTCCCACGTCAGACCAATCATTTCCTAGACCCATAGGCAATGAGAGGGCCCATAGGAAGACTCCAACACCTGCAGTTCCTGGCCTGCCCAGTATGGGAGACATTGCAACCATCTGGAGTCTGGGAAATGGTGAGTTACAGACTTGAGAAAATGATGTAGTTTTTCTGTTGAAGAGGGAAATAGCATGTCAAGATATGATTGTAAAAAAAAATTTTTGAACAGATGTAAGGTATGGTAGATCTAAGAATAAGAATAAAAGGTCTTAGGTGTATTTGACAGATGAACTATGTAACAAGCTTTTGTAATAAAAGCAAGCAGGGCGAGATTGTTGATTACATGTTGAACAGCTGGGATTGTGCAGGACAATATGCTGATTTGACATCTGTTGAATACGACAATAACTAAAAAATTTTAATGTTATGATAGTGGTTTTCACTGAGCCATCTAAAGAAAGATATATATTTGTTCAATTTTTTAATGTTCCAAAAAAGAGGTTGTTTGCATTTTCATTCATACTCGTTTTCTCATTCTTTCTACCACCCCTGTATCCATCCATCCATCCATCCATCCATCCATCCATTCTTTCATCTATTCCCTCGCTCCCTCATTCCAGATGGTCCTACCGACTGGTCCCCAGCCTCATCTGTCCTTAGCAGCTCTGTTATCACCAGCACAGTGATGAGCAGTGGCTTCAGTCAGCAGAGTGAGGAACAGCAGAAGAAACTGATGATGGGAGGGAGCAGACTGCCAGGCTTCTCAGACACTGGGGCAGGAGAGGGCCAGGTGGACCAGGCTTTCCAGGTAAGCAGTGAGAAAGAGGAATAGAGTAATTTGTGGTGTTATTTCAGACAATTAATGTTGACGTAATGGATCCTTAGCACGATGGTGATAATTAACACGGTAGTGAATTCATAGTGAATTGAGCCTAGTTATCTTGGTAGAACTTGTTGCAGTCTGTGGGGCCCCGTTTTCCTTGAATAACATTTCGTGATATAAAGGAAAACACGGTTGATATTGAAGTCTTGAACTCAAGTTGATATATTAACATAATGGTAATATGTCAGTACATGATTTCCATGGAATGTATTTATCACTTAGTTCTAACCTTTTCAATCAGGGGTTCCTTGGCACAGGCAGTGTGGGCTTTGCAGCCTTCACGCCAGGTGGTCTGCCTCCAGGGGTGTCACAGCAGCTCTATGGTGGTGGTGGTGGTGGTGGTGGTGGCAGTGGCGCCCCAGGGCCTGAGGAGATCAGTGCAATGTGGAGTCAGCCTCTGAAAATGTCTATGGGAGACTCTTCAGAGGTCAAGAGATCGGGGGTAGGTGATAGTATTGTTTATGTTGATGTAACACAGTTTTGATGATGTTATAGTATTGTTTATTCTGATGTCATGCAGTTTTGATGAAGTTATAGTATTGTTTATGGCGATGTTACACAGCTTGATGATGTCATAGTATTTTATAATGGTGTGACGAATTTGAAGTTTTCTACAACTTACCTTAACAAAAAATATATTGATCAGAGTAAAAAGTGTTGATAAAAATTACAATGCTTTTTGATTTTAAAGGGGAACAAATTGTGTTCCTCTTTCAAGCCTCTCCATTCAAAGATTATAATGTACATTTTTAATTTTTTTTTCATCTGATAGGTATGGAGTGCTGCCACATGGACACCTCCTCCTGGTATCTGAGGATCTCGTTAGTGGAACATGGACAGTGGGATTCAAAAGAAAAGATTTGCGCCATTTTGTTTTGTAAAGAGCTGGAAACGGAACTGTAGTTGAGGGACAGATGATGTATTTTATCCTGGGGTTTTGAAAAGCTGTTAAGAATTGCAAGCTGCAGTTAACAGGGGGGATATGAAAGTTTTCTTCAGTATTTTATAGTTACCATGGTAACAAGTTGTCTCCCAAAATAAGGTTATAACTTCTATGATTATTATTATGAAAGATAATAGCACAAGATGGACAATATATGTTTACCAATGGTGACCAGTGTTGGACATAGACAGTAGAAACAACTGACCAGAATTGAGACTGAGAAAGCTAATTACCTGGATTGGACAGTTTATTTATCACTGATATGGATGTGGATGGATTATGTCATTTTAACCTGTGTAAAACACATGGCTACATGCTTGGTTGAGTAGTTTCTTCTATAGCTCGCTTTTGCTCAGAAAAGATTAATTGCTCAATGAGACTCTTCGTGTGATTTTGAGCTTTGATAGCACAGAACAGATTATGAAAAAAAATTGAGCATTCTGACAAACTGTACTGAGCATATTTCATTTGAAGGAATTACTCAAACATGGCATTAAAAAGATTAAAAGAGGAAAAATCATTATTATTGTATGGATGGTACTTCTTTGTTGCTTTCAGAATATTTTTCTGTTTCATTTATCGTCTTGTCATGACATGACATACATTATGTGTACATGTAAAAGTACAAGTGAAATAAAAGTTGAGTATATAGCAAAACATGTTCGGAATTTTTTACGTTGAATTTTTACACAGTCAGTGGTAGGCCCTGTGCAGCTCATATTTTCTTGGAAATGGCACTATTCTTAGTTTGGTGTTAAAAGGGACCTCAATATTGAAACTCCTATCAAATTAATAGTGAAATTAAGGTTATTCTTAGGATAACCAATCATAAAATCAGTAAACAAAGGTCACTTTACTTAGAAAATATCATTTGTATTTGAGTGACATTGTCAAATGTGTTCTGGTTGGAGATGCATTAAAATTATGTGAACGTTTTTAAAAGAATGCAGTAGTTATGTGAAAGAAATTAATGAAAAGTATACTTAACATGTCACTAGTCATTTTTGTCTTCATATCCATTAAAGCTTCTTATCTTTCCTAATTCAGAACTTAAATAAAACCATAAACCATTAAAATAAAGTACTTGGCATTCTTATTGAAATGTACAGAAAGACGTTCTTGATAACTGGTTGATAGCCTTTTGAGTTTTTGTTTTTACGTTCGAAATATATAATTACATTAAACCAATGTAAAAGCAACAGAGGCTTAAAATAACACACGAAAAGATTATGAATCAGAAATGTGAAACAAGTAGCCTACCTATTAACCGTGATACGGAACCAGGATTGGTTCAACGTGCACGCACGCACGCACTCACACACTCACACACACACACACACACACACAGCACGGGCGGATGTTCAAGTTTGCATTGATGGGAGTCTAATTTTTTTCTGTCGGAAGACGGTCAAAATGGAGGATGGATCAACAAAGATAATTTGGAAGACTGTCAGAGAATATCTGTAGATCCGCCCTTGAGTCACACACACACGTATCGTCATCTCTCGGGTCAAGAAGTTATAAAGAAGTTATAAAGAATTTATAACTTCTTGCTCGGGTCTAATCTACGCCCGCCACATGCCGTAAAAAGCCGGGATTGGATAGGACCGTCTCTGACGTATTCAAACAGATTGTTGATAAAACTGAACTGCTGAGTAGATGCAGTAATAGAATGTAATAATGGATGTATAGAACAGTGAATGAACGCGATGCAGGGAGATTTTAAGTACAGTATACATTTCACTCTAAATCAACAGCTCAGTACAAAAATAAGTGCCGTGCGTTATGTAATATTACGTTTCGAGTAGGTGAAAAAATTAACGCCCTGATTTCAAGAAGCCCGGTTAGCTCAGTCGGTAGAGCATGGGACTCTTAATCCCAGGGTCGTGGGTTCGAGCCCCACATTGGGCGTGATAACTATTTTTCGTTTTGCCCTCTCATAACTTGAGTATGGCGTATTTCTTTAGCGATAAATCTTTTAACGCGCCACACAAATCCAGAAAATACCGATACAGGAAGAGAAGTGTTGCCTGATGACGGTTTGAGTAGTACAGCCATTTTATATGAAAGTGTAAAATATAGCCTATCCTTTCCTTTTATCATTGGTAAATGTGGCACCTGCTTCGATAATATTGCTTTGTTAATCACACTGTGTGTGTGCGCGCGCGCGCCGTGTGTGTGTGTGTGTGTGTGTGTGTGTGATATTGACTGGATAGAGAGCGTTATTGGATCATTGTGTTAGCCGAGACGCATGAACATTTACGAAGGTATTCAGTGCAGCATTGTTTCAGTTGAGACGTGGATGTAAACACAATCATTTCGTCCTTTTACGATGTTAACTTTAATATAGTCTTCAAGTTCGATCTTTTCTTTTTTCAACACACAAGGAACAGCGTGATTTTTCCTTGATCAGCAATTCTTTGCCGGTAGTTTCTCATTTTCTGTAACATCAGAACTTAGAGAAATTACTGGACATTTATGTAAATAATGCAATTGACTTTCAAAACCCTCTCGATTTTGTTCCTATTTGATCAGATATGAGATATACAAGTAGTTTTTTGTTTCATTCGATTTAAATTGGTGAAAAACTTAATAGCACTGATGTTCACGTTTTTACCCCTTTTGTTTCATTAAAACTACTTATGGTTTTAATGTTTGTGGAGAAACCACGCAAAAGTAGTGGTGGTGGAAAATTGGAAAATCGCTTTTAACATAATTGTCGTAAGTTATGATGCTGTACAGTCGGAGCAATTTAATAACACGAATTTTTCTTCTGAAAATATTTCCGTTTTGTGTCTTGGTTGATGTGTATCTAAACCAAATAAATATCATCTGATCAATGTTAATAGTGCATCAATATACGTACTTATACGTGTTACAAGCTCTTTGTTTATAGTTAGTAAAAAAAATGTGTACAAATACATTACGTTAAAATATACTTGTACTTAAACTACTGGTACCAATCGCTTACCGCGTCTCTCTAAAACGATGCTTAAAAACCTATCATTTGTTATAACTTTAGGGTTGAACTAAAACCTTTGACACCCTGTGTTATGGCATAAATGTGTCTCCAGTGGATATAGCAGCAATTTATTTGAAGAAAAGCATCTATTTGTGATCTCTCAGGGCTGTCAAGTGACACTTACACAGCCGTCGTGATAACAAACGCGTTCATCAACTGACAGTTGCCAAGTGGTAAGGACGTAACCAAGTGACACTGTTCAGTAACACTTGCTGGTCAACTCGCGACACTTCTTGCTCAGATCTTGAACAAAATTCGCTCCTAAGGCGTAAGTGAAGAGCGTCAGAGAGGACGCTAGAGAGGACTTCTCGCCTTCGTGGTTTACCGCACTTGCCCGTTTCCAGCCGAGGTTCCTCTTTACAAAATGGCTAATCACGAGTCTCCTATGGACTTCTATGGGGCTAACGAGCGGAGTCTGGCCAATTATTATGAAAAAAAATCCATTACACAACTCGGTGGCAAACAGGGTTTTGTCTTGTAATATGTCGTAGGTATCTGAGGTAATTATTATGGACTTGAAGGCTTGGGGGCTTTCTGCCGTTAATCCACTTGTACCCCTCTCCAGTGCTCACGCCACCCTACCACGTCCGTCAATAGTTTCACAAGTTGGGTGATGAGGTATAAACAAGAGGGTATTCTTCGCGAGGTCATTTACATAGTGTTTAATTATGGGTCTTGGTCTCTATTAAGCCCGTGCGTTTCTATTCTGCTATTCTAGTTGACCGTCCATCTGTGCCCTCCTCTGCCTCGTGGTCCCAACCATTGTTTCAGCCACAATGGCATTTGCACGACACCGACACGACTCGGACTTGGGGAGCCAATTCTGCTGTGTACGTTTCGAGGAGAAATTACTGATTACTGCAATCATTGGGCCTCGTAATTGCGCCAAATTAGATTTCTCGTTGTTGTTAATGTGGCTTATTAGCCAATACTTCCCTATCGAACTTTGGATTAGTGTAGGAAGCAATTATCCCAGAGGACCAGTTTGACAGCCTTTGAATGACATAAACGTTCTCCTTGTATTCTATGTTAAAACTTCCTTTTTTTTTTTACTCTTCTGAAATCTAGAGAGAGAGACATTAAAAACGTTCGCGCTGTAGTGTCCATGAATGGCCATTGATCATGCCTCTTCTCTCGTTCTCTCCTCTGGTCCAGAGCAGTCAGTTGTGGGTGCATATTCTTATCATTATGCTGTAACACACTTATGGTTCTCTTTTCCGACAAAAGGTCCTATTTCTATGAATTTACGAAAAAAAATACCGATTTGCAGAATGCCGTTTCTGGCTCGTTTGCAGGGAAGCGAATAACGCCTTGTACGATGATATATACATTTTATTTTCTTTTTCTTTGTGATTTCTCCTGGCCTGGTATTAACGTCCGATCTATGATTATCTTTTTGATTTTCAGGGTCTGGTCACTTACGCATGTATTACATGATTAACAACAATTACACACTTTTTCGATTACGTTAATCCTAATCAGTTTGTAGGCCTACGTTGTTGTCATTAATTTTTGCAAAGCTGGCCAAGTTGATAATGGAAAACGGGACGTGTTGTCAAAACAGTAAGTACTTAAATACTCGTAATATACTGCCTTCTAACAACGTTCCTTTGTGATATTTGATTGTATGTCCATGTTTAATTAACGGAACAGAAATCTGTTATTGTTGTCCACAGTCATTATCTTTACAGTTAGGCACGCGTAGAAAGGGTACTTGCTTATATGAAATCACAAACAACGCAGGAAAATGAAAGTAAATCGTTTCATTACACTGTAATGGGGATAGGAGTTGTTGTTCACAGCTTGGTAGATTCAAACCAGAATATTTTAAACGAAACCCGGAAATGTCATGTCATAAGGCATGATGCAGTTTTATTCTTGTTTCCCCTATTGCATGGTGACAATAGGGGTTAATTTATTCGTCTGTTTTTTGTTGAAAACGGCGTTTGTTTCATATTTCTTTTGCAATGATCCCACTTTTCGAGTTTATATCCAGTTCATCAATTCACGAAAACCATTTGTGAGGTTTCTCTCTACTTACGCCATTCACCTTTATCAATAATACACACAAATTGTTGAGCATAGCCTCTACATTTGTTTTATCATTAAAATGTTTGATTTACCAAAGTAATACATTTAACCTGCAGATCTGTGACAGGAAAACAGTTATCAGCCATTTACTAATGAATTGTAGGTGAATTGTGTATGTTCAAAGACCCAAATAAAAATTATTAAAAATGAAGATAACTCCTTCCTCTTATGACTCTTTTTCTCTTATGACTTCTAGAAAGGCTTATATTAATGAATCAAATTCAACAGTAGCAACAAAATTACTTCGACGCTCTTTTTCGCTTTCCGGCTAACCTGAATCTCAACTTTTCATTTTAACTATCATTGTGTATTGTTGTCTCCGCAGACGGCGGCTGACCTTCTTCTGCCTTGTCGCCCCATCTCCGGCCCGTGGGTGAACTTCTCTACTAAGGATTGACCCGGTCGCAGAGCACCGGGTCATCTAATTGGTGTTCTGGCCAACACGTTGCGGGGCTAATTTCATCCCTGGCGCAGCGCGGAGAAAATTTCGGCGACCATTATACTGTCACTTTGGGGAGGAAGCTAATTACGTTGAGTGAAATTAGC